GTGAACGCTTCAAAATATATACCGAATTGGCTAATCCATCGAAACCTTAGTATTTTAACCGTTGAAGAAAAAATTAACCACTTCTGCTCTAAATACAAGACTCGGCTAAATCAACTTCCAAATCAACTGGCGTGTGACCTGCTCAACTTGAAAAAGAAGCTGTAATGAATTATTACATGAATTTACTTAAAATTAGATGCAATAAGAGCAGAAGGTGCTATCAAAAGATAGTTATATCCTTCACACGCCATCATATTGAATTGTCTACAATTATATCTGTATGTATCTTATTGTATTTTTTGCTATAAAAATAAAACAACTAATGGTGTATGGCATCGTTCTTTAAGGCAAATTGCTTGAACTTTTCGTGCCGTAACAATTTGAGGAATATTAAATGTTTTCAAATAGATTATTATAAAATCTGTAATATCGTCTAATATTTATAAGAATTAAATAAACTGAATTACAAAGTTAAACTTAAAATATATAAGTGAGCTTTGGAACTTTAACCAGAATTAGAATTGAAATCTGAATTATTTTCGATATACAAAAAAACTCCAATTTTTCAAAATCTAAATAACTTTTTTTTTCAACATTTAATTACGAAAAAACGATCCCGGCCGATCTCTCAATCAATTCAGAATGACTTGAAATTTGATCTCATTTGATTCAGAATGACTTGAAATGACAACAAAACGTGAAACTAGCGCATGAAGTTTCTGGTTATAACTTTTTCTTTGGGAAGTTAATATCAAAAACTAGAAAAGTGCAAGAGATTAAAAAAATGTCTTTGAATTTAGCTAATTTTAAAATTTTAAATGATTTAAAATTCAAATAATAAAATTCATAAAATGCATTTATCTTTCTTTAATTTATTCATTTATTTATTTTCAGCAAAACCCAGTTCTGAGAGCAGAGAGGTCTCAAACACATTTCAAAAACAAAGTGAAGAAGTCAATAGAACAAAAAGTCAACTCTACTATCCTGAAAAGTTCACAAAATTCAAATACTTGTTTTAGATATGAATGTTACTTAACGTTATCCATAACAAGTGAATAAAAATCATTAAAAACGAGGACAAAAAATTACCGATAGTTGAATAAACGCAAATGGAACTTGAGGACTTTTTGTGTACCTAAAAAGTGTTTGTGATAACAGTGTTGTGCAAAACTTTGCAATTATACTTGACCTCAAAGACTTGGTCTATAAATAAATCTTTAAAGCAATTGACATTCTACATAACTATTAAATTTAATTCCTGTAGTTCTCATTTTACTATATGTTTGGAATTTCAAGTAAATTCAAATGGAAATTTCCAACAAAATAGTTTCGATCGAAGAAGTTTTCTGGATCGATTAAAAAACTAAATCTATCATACAATGAAAATGAATTATTAGACCACGTTGGTCCTTGCAAGTTTCCATGTGTCGGTTAAAAGATTTAACTAATCAGAATGTCCTTGTGAATCTAACAGGATTCAACCATAAAAGTGGAGATGCCATTAAAAAGACATTATAAACATCCATCAAAGTTTCATTAGTGATGAACAATTTTCTTAAAAAGACAAACATTTGCTTGTGGTCAAATAATTTGCCTGATGTCTCGTAGTGATCGTTTATTGAGCTATTTTTCAATCCGAGTTTATTTTATCGTTTTTGAGTGTTTGTGTAGTTTTATAAAGGCCTTTATAGTGTTCTAGTGCAGTGATAGTGTTTTATTCCCGGTTCCTGGTGCCTGTTACCTGATCAGCTCTCTTCTGGAAATCACGAGGTAATGCGCCGTTTTTTTTAGCACATATTAATGTTTCATAATATATTTAAAAACTGACATATTTTTCTCTATTCTTCAGACAACAAATTGGTAATCGGGTTGTTCCAGAAGAATCGGTGATTTTAAACGAAGGTTAGTGTATTTTTCTCCTAGGCATGATTTTAAGGGTACGGTCACACGTCTCGTTGTGGATTCACAAAAATAGATTTTTATCAAAATCAATCGATATTTCAAGCTATTTTAGATCATCTTCTTTATTTTTCGATGTTCATCGTTATTTTTCGAGTTCTGTTGACATTCTTATAATTTTATCGATTTTTAATCAAATATCATATTTTTTGACAAATAATTCTAATCTAGTATTTTTACTAATCGGGAAGTTATAACAACTCGTCAATAGGTATAATTTCCAAAACATATCAGTTACAAAAGTTTTTGTGAAAGCTCTTCGGAGACGAACCATTTATTTATTGATTAATTAGTCAATTTATTGGTAACTACGTAGAAATAAACTTACATTTTAGATGATATAAATTATCTTTTTAAAAGATATAATGATGAAATATAAATTATGCTAATTAATTGAAAAGGTATAAATTAAAACACATTAATAAAATGTTTTTGCATAGTTATCAATAAATTGTATTAATAATGAGTGTAAATCGATAACTTTGCCTTATAGATAGGTTGAACTATACACTTGGTTATATTTAGGAGTTTTTGAATAATTATAAAATTAACCAATTATATAATCAATAATTATTTACAGTGACCGTATCCTTCATTAATCCACTAATTTCTTACAGCCTAATAAAAAATAGACTCCAAAATAAAAGTGAGTGTAGTAAGTAATAAAATTCGCGTAAATTAATCAATTCTAAAACATAAGTGCTAATTAAATCAGTTTTGCATAACTTCGCGTAAACTAAGTGTGGTGTGTAAAAAACTAGACTGTGCAATTTTGCGAAGAAATACTGACATCTATGCAGTCTGGGGTAAGTACAAGTTTATGTATTAGGTTTTATGTAGTTTTTGTCATTTTTTTTCTACTGGCAATACTAAGTCATCAACGTGTGGGCTTTCTTTATTTTAATAAATTACAGAAGCGGATTTAGGGCGAGAATGTCGATATAAAATTTTGAACCCTTTAGGATCGTTCGGAAAAAATAGTAAGTTGATATCTGTAAAAAAGATGATTTACAAAATAAGTGAAATTGACAAATTTGTATCGATTTATTTTAAGTGGTTTTTTCAAAACTTTTATAAGTTCTCAAATCAACGGTGAATTTAGGATTGTTAATAAAATATTTTTATAAACATTTTGAATATCGAGGATATGATATGCATATATGTCTCATAATTATTTTTGGCTACCAAATCCTCTATTTCCGAAACCGCTAGACTTGCTCTTCTAAAAATATAATTAATATAATAGAAGTGAAATGCTCTCAAAAACGAAATTGCCATATTTCGCACGTTTTGCTCTGTATTTTCGGAACGGTTGGACCTACCTTTGCCAAAAATTAATCAGCACGTCGCCCCATCAATAATCAAAACAAAACAAAAAAATTGTATCCGCACACACACACATTATATACACTTTTTCTAATGTATGCCATAATGTTCAAAAACCTTTGAAAAGTAAAAAATACATAATAGCTTTCATTTTCGATTTTTTGCGCTTACTTAATTTTTTTAATTCTACCACCTTTGGAATATTCGTAGGAATATCATTCATGATATTTATTTAGAATTTAGACTATAAACTTTATCGTCATTGTAGGTTTTAACGACGCAAAAAATAACTTGAATCAGCAACATTTCTTATTGATCCTTAACGAACGGTTTTTGAATTTTCAAAATCAGTTTGGACGTTTTTGAGAAAACGTTGAAGAAAGGTAAACTAGTGGTGCATGGCATCGTACCTTAAGGCAAACTGCTGTAACTTCCTGTACTGAGAAATAAAATTTTAAACAAAACTTTAGCATTTTTTGAAAACTTCGAAAAAATTAGACTTATAAAAGTTTTGAAAGAAATTGAATTTTCTGAAAAATTTGATTTTTTTATATTTTAAAACTTTTTGAAAACTTTGAACTTTTATTCAGCGTGGCTGTGTTAAAGAAGAAATATCGAAGCGCATAAGCGCCGCGTCGCAGTAAATGGATAAACATTGGTACGAAACCGACAGAAATGTAAGCAATGCTTATTAATAAACATTTTATAAAATATCTGATAATTTGATGTACATACATCTAACCTTCATTTTTGACAGCCATCTGGGATAGTTTTTTACTTTTTTCATTGAATCTACCTACGAAACCGCTAGACCTGCCTGCCCAAAAATTGCGGATACAAATATTCGTCGACGATTTTGAACACACGGATCAATCGATTTGAATGATGAAAAAAAATATTTGATTTCTATTGATAAGGAGACGTCCTGATTAGTTTTTAGCAAAAGCAGGATATGAGGCAAAAAGTGCTAAAAAATGTAATACAGTTTTGGAGAGAACGCAGCATGAGATTTGTATTATTCACAAAACATTTTACTTGTATTGACAAAACGAAGTACTGATGAAATTTTTTGAAAGGCATGTCCAGCGGTTTCGGAGATCCAATAAAAAAAGTAAAAAAAAAACCATTTGATGGACAAAATTGACCATTAAACATATGTGCATCAAATTATCAAATATTTTATAGATATTTTAATAATAACAGATTTTGTTTACATTTCGTTTTTATTTTGTTTCTACATAGCTAACGTATTGCGATTGCTTTGAAAAAATGTTCAAAATTTCCAAAATATTTCAAAGTATAAAAAAAATCTAATTTTTCAAAGGTCAATTTTTTCAAGCTCTAAAAAATTAATCTTTTCCAAAAATTGTAATTTCAAGCAATTTGCCTTAAGGTACGATGCCACGCACCACTAGTCGTACATTACATTACATACATAATACTAAACTGTAGAAATAAAACATTTATGTATGTATATAGGAATAATCTGTTTGCAATATATATTTGAAAATTAATTTACATTTGATAATATGTTTTAACAATTTGATCTGAAATATTTTGTAAACTTAAGCAAATTCATTGCTGTTATGCTATTATATCACAAATTGGTCCCGATTTGTAATCCGGATAATAGGAAAGCCGTGTAACTGAAGATTGAATAGACGATTTTACTATATTATAAACCAATTTTCGTTGGACACAATAACTTATTGGTTCTATCTATTCCAAAAATGAGAATTCAAATACTTCATGATGGTGAAGCCTTTAAGGCGCACCATCCCGGTCACGCTCTCAAATTCTTCGTCACAGTCGATGTAGGCAGGGTCTTCCGGATCCTGGAGTTTTCTTTCCTTGATTTGAATCCATATTAATTTGACTACGTTGTACCGTGTCTCGGGTTCATTACTACCAATTAATTTGGCTAATTCGGGGGATAGTCTATACCTCTTATGAATCCCAGAATTTCTAGGTGCACGCTTCTGCAAAATAACAATAATATAAATAATAATAATATGAATTATAATACATATATATATATATATATATATATGTATGACAACCCGATTTTTGTTATGAATTTTCCATATTACTTATTTATTACTTTTCAATGCTTCTATAAACTATTTTTTTAAGTAGTAACTGAAATCTATATTTATTTTTCAATATATTCTTCATTGATTTCATTTTAAATTACGAAGTCTTTTAAATGCCTACCATACTACATTCATATATTTAATTTTATGATTTAGTTTTAGTTGTATTGATACATCTTTTTTATTAGTATATATTAATTTTATTTTCCAATTACTTTTTTCGCCTCATTAATCAGAACTTCTGACAGGGTAGTCGAACTGTTTGTTCTGGATTTTGCCTCCCTTCTCGTATGCCTCCTGGACCCCATGGTGCTGAACTGCGTTTCAATTACTATAATTTCCAATTATCATAACTCGAACTGAAAATTTGAAATAATGCGAAATTTTATTATTTTAAATTAATTTTAATAAATGTTTTAATCATATAACTAATGTTTTATAACAAAACAATGTAAGAGCAAAATTACATTAGAAGACTAATATCGGATAAATTTACAAATATATTAGATAAATCTTATAACTTAAACGCATATAAATAAAAAAAATTCCATATCAGGTTGTAATAAAGAAACTCAAATCCACCAAATATATTAACTAAATTATATCATAAGACAAATTAAATGACAATGCAATATTATATGTAGTATACAAATAAATTAAATCAAATATATAATAATAATAATATAGACAAATATACATAAATAATTTTTCAATAAAAACAATTTTGTAGCAGATATCTGACATTTGTCATTGGCATAAAATTGAAAATTTAAAAAAAATTGAAAAATCAAAATTAAATTACAAAAAACATTAGGTAATAATACAACATATGTTTTAATAATTCATTTTACTTACATTTTTATTGTTTCTTGCTCTTACTGAAGTTTATAAAAAAATAAAATTTAAAACATTTTCACCAAAATTTTATATAGTGCATTTGTTATTGTGCTCGCAGCATACTACTATAATTTAAAATTTAAACAAGAAAAAAATTATAATCAAAGTGTTTAGTACGTCATGGAAACAACTGAATTTATGAAATCCAGTGAGCCAAATCTTTTTGGGAAAATTGTCAAACGAGTTCAAAAAGTTATTAACTACGATTGCTAATTTACTTATGCACAAACATATGCCGAAATGAGTGAAGGCAAATATAATATACATAAGTAGTGTAAATATTTCGAAATTTTTAAATGAACTTGACTTTTTTTGAAAAGTTTGATTTTTTTTAACGTTTCGTAGGGTAAGTTTAAAAAAGTTATAGTAGTCCTAAAATCGAAAATGAAATTTTTTGCATATTTTCACGTTTCACAAGCTCCTGAACATTTGGCATACTTTAGGAAAAATGGATATATGTAAGTCAGTACTGTCAGTAGTATGTGTTTTGTGTAGATACAGGTTTTCGTCGACGTTTTCGGGAGCATACCTTAACCGATTTCAATGATATTCAAAAAATATTTGATTCCTATACATGAGGAGATGTACTGAGTGTTTTTTCGGCAAGACAGATTCAGCCCTTGCGATAGGGGCATCGATTAGGTTGATATAAATGCATTCAATTCGTATTGGAAGACGAGCTAGTTATTTTTTCGGGGACACCCGTTTGAAGTTACAGAGTGCTAAAATTACCGTTTTTTGAGAAAACGGAGCATCCGATTTGAATGATTCAAAAACTTTTGCCTGTGTTGACAGTATGAAGGCAGGATTCTTTTTGGGAAAGCAAATAAAAATATCTTAAAATTAAAGAAAAACAAATTAAAAATTTTTTTT